AACTGTCTACGGACAATTGCTGGCTCTATGGCTTGGAAACGGGGATGAGTACCGCCCCCTAGAATCAGACACAACTGGACAATTTATCAAGAGGAACCTTTACCTTTACCTCTTCTTGCCACCTCTTCTTGATGTCTTCTGTTTCTGTTAGGTCCCTACCTTTTTTGTACTTTATCATGTCCATCTTTGCACAAAATGTTCGTCTAACACCTCCAATTTTCTTGAACAGATCTCTGGTTTTTCTCTTTCTATTATTTTCCTCTATTTCTTTGTACTGTACATTTAAGAAGGCCCTCTTGTCTCTCCTTGCTATTCTTTGGAAGTTTGCATTCAATTTTTTGCAACTTTCCCTATCTCCCTTGCATTTTGTTTCCCTTCTCTGCTATTCATAAGGCCTTGTTGGACAGCCACTTTGCTTTCTTGCATTTCCTTTTCTTTGAGATGGTTTTTGTTGCTGCCTCCTGTACAATGTTACGAGCTTCCATCCATAGTTCTTCAGCCACTCCGTCCACCAAATCTAGTTCCTTAAATCTGTTCTTCACTTCCACTGTGTATTCATAAGGGATTTGGTTTAGATTATACCTGACTAGCCCAGTGGTTTTTCCTACTTTCTTCAGTTTAAGCTTGAACATAGGTCTAGACCCACTGAAAGCCAGCCCCGTTGACAGCTTTCACGTGTAGGAAGTAATCCATCCTCTGCATTCTCAAAACACTAACAGGCTCAGTGTGAGAAAGCCAGCTTTCAAGATTAATGGCAAGATTTATGGCATATTTCAGGACCCTGTCTGTGCATGCTCATAGCCTGCCATAGTTTATCTGAATTCTGAGTAACATGTAAAATTATATTTTGCTTATCATCTTATTGTTGTGGAAACTATGGAGAATTTCAGCTCAGAAGAGACTTTATAGAAAAATAAGGTCATTTGCCAAAACTGGGGGAAAGGGGAAAGAACTTGCATCTATCTATTTCCATTAATATAAGTCAAGTATAATGTTTTGCTTTTCTGACTTGTAACAATTTTCAAATACAACTCCATAGTTAGGCTTCAACTGATTTTTGTTGTTGTTGCATGCTGTTTGTTTTCAAGCTGTTATTGGCCTCATCGATGGTGGTTTGATTCTGCTGTTACCTGAAACCAAAGGAAAAGCTTTACCTGAGACAATTGAGGATGTTGAAAATATGCACAGGTATGGCTCTTTGTCTACTACATGGAGACAAGACTCATTGGAGATGTCAGTAATGGTAGGAGAAACTGAAGGCAGTAGGAAAAGACATAACAAGAAATGGACCAATTCAGGAAAGAAAACCAAAACTTTTAATTAGGATGACTTAAGCTGAGTTGTTAGTGAGAGGATTTTTTGGAGACCATTAATTTATAGGGTTGTCATAAATCAGAAGTGACTTGATGGCACAAAACAACAAATGATCCCTGAGTCCTGAAGGGGGGGTTGAGCCCTAACAGCTGTGGATTAGTGGGAAGCTAAAATCTTCTTTAAAATGATCAGACAAAGTATGACAAGATGGCTACTGCATTTGAACTGTCTCAGGAGATACCAAGCTGCATGAATTTGGCCCATCTGGAAATAAGCAACACTGAATTTGAACTGATGGTGAGCATTCTTAGGTAGACATTGCTCAGCATTCACAGTCAAGGCTGACTGAATGGGGAGAGAGAGAAGCATTATGTACTTAGGTGACTCTGGCACAATAAGAGTTGTTGTAATTTTTCAAATAGTTACCACATCACAGTGAAAGACAGGCAATCCTGCCCTCAGCCACAATGGCCTAGGAAACACCAAGCTTAAGATGTTTCCTCTTAAAAAGTAGTTTGGCAATTTTCCTGTTGAAAATTACTCCCTTCAAGAGCTGCTGTTTCCTTCAGGAGGGAAGCCTTCCTCAGTGCCAAAAGGGATCCCAACAGCAGATTTAGAACAACTGGTAGTAAACAGGAGAAACGGCACTCTTCCTCGGCCACACTTACACACACCCCAGCAGCCCTAAGCATTATCAGGAGCCTCTGTAAGTTCATTAGTAGTTGGGTAGGAGGGAGGGAGAATCTCCGAGCCTAAACAGATATTTATTTATTTATTCACTTCCTGACTTAGTGCTAGCACCACTTTAAGCAGTTTACAATTGAGGATAATTATCTCATAAACCCGCCCCATAAGCCAAATGTCAGACAGACAAATACAAATAACAAAACCAACCTAGCTAAAAACTAAACGATAGTGGGACTGGGTGACTCACATACAGTATAGACTGACTCAAGAGAGGATGTCCTTGAAAGTTTCTTTAAAGAGTAATGAGATGCATGTAGTTTTGAGGGTAATTATGTCCAAGAAGGTCACGTTAACATACTCAGCTGAAAGGACTTTGCCCCTCAGAGCCCAATATATTTTGTATTTTCACACTGTTCTTCTGGTGTTATTTCTACAGGCAAGAAAGTCCAAAACAGAATATGATTTATCTTCAGGTTCGAACTTCAGATGCGACTTCTCATTAAGATCAGTGGCATTCTCCAAGATTTTTTCCTTGATGATAAATAAAGGAAAACACAGAAAAGGCGACTAGACAACATCTTCTCTTGTCATTCTTTAAACCTTTTTGTAACCTTCTGATTTTTTTCCTTCCTGTAATGACCCTACAGTAATGTGTTTTGAAGAGCTCTGTAGTCTGAAAGAAATAACACGAGGCAGCTCTCAGTGGTCTACAAAGCAGCACAACAGTTTCAGGAAGCTGTTCTATTAAACCACAAGCTGCCACAATCTACCTTTAAGTTAAACAAAAGGCATGGTGCAGCCAGACATAAGTGTATTTAAGCCTTACTGATTCCAATTTGAGAAGGTTGAGGATGTCCTTAACGATTCTGTTGAAATCAATGGGAATTAAATATGCTTGGCTGGATTGTGGCCAAGGCCGCCAGTGTTTAAGGTCAGTTGGAGAACTGCTTTTAAAAGCAACAAATATTTCCTCTCTCCCACCCCCACATCTGTGTCCTTCTTTGGGTTGTTTTCAGAAACTGAAAAATCAAGTGTGAGCACATCAAGTGGGAAGGGTTGCCAGTGACTACTTTCCCCATGAAGATCTTTAAACAGAGGCTTGGCAGCTGAAAGGGTTGCAGGCTGTTGAAATCTGGATTTCCATACAAAAAATCAAATCTAGCAGAAGATTAGTCTAGATCACCTATGAGCCCATCCCCAAGATTGGTTTGATGTCCAACTCATTTTGGCAGTTTTGTACATTCATATTTAGAAGGAAAATCCTTGTTAAATGAATTGGACTTGCTTTGTGATACACCAGAGATGAGAAACACTGTTGTTTTTTACTTCAACGCCAAAAATTATCCAGAGATTCCCCATCCCCCATCCCACCTAGATCATCCCTGGGGGCTTCTGGGAGCTATACTCCAAAAAAGTAATATTTCCTATCTTTGAGGTAAATATAGGCTCTGACAATGATACAGTGAAAAATAACTTATTATATAGAAGCTCATTAAGACAAAGAACTCGTGATCAAAATTATTTAGTTTATCTGACACATTACTGGTCTATTGCAGTGGTTCCCAAGTTTGAGTAACTCAAGTATTCTTAGACTGCAATTCCCAGAAGCCTTCACCACCAGATGTACTGGCCGGGGTTTCTGGGAGCTGCAATCCAAGAACACCTGGGTTACCCAAGGTTGGGAACCACTGGTCTATTGGATAAGGAACTTAATTGCCCAATTGACAGAACTTGGATTTTACAGGAAGTGCTACAGTACTGCTGGTTAAAGAAGGACCCTGTCTCACATGGTAAACTTGGCCACAAGGTTTATTGGAAAAGATGTATGAATATCAGCCCAATGAATGGGAAGAGTAACTGCCAAACACTGCTTCAGAGAGAAAATGCTATGTATGATAATACTGGCGAAAGAAAAGACTCAGCATTCATGAGAAAATGCTGAATGTGGTGTGGAAGGTACAATGCCAAAAGTGCTTTTACACCAGCCAGATAGATAGTAGTTCCCAAGGATCAAAAGCTGACACCTACTTGCCAGATTCTGAACTGTATTCACTACTTAAAGAGCATCAGTGGTGTATTGTGTACTCAGAGAATGTTTTGATTCTGTCTTACTACTTTTGGTCATTATCCAAAACAAATTAAATACATTTAGATCTTATTGATGTCAATGGGGAATTAAGTATTTTCTTAAATTAGAAGAATGAATTGTGAGTATCCTTGAAGTGTCTAATTTTGGTTAGTTTTTGTCCTTAACCTTTTGTTTACTTCCTCTCTTTTACACACACACACACACACACACACACACACCACCACCACCACCACCACCACCACCACAAAAATAAGCCATCCAATCTTGTCCATCCACTTCTGGTATCTATTGTTCAAGCTTGTGCCAAATAATAAGCTTGGTGCCATGAGAGCTTGTGTATTCTTATTTGAATACTGTTGCTCAATACATCTAGTGCAGAGGAGAGTCTCTTGATGTTCAGTTTCCCTTGAACAATAAAGCAGAAGTTCTAGAAGTAGCTTTCTACCTACTGAAACCTGTCATATCATTTATTCTCACGATAAATGAACAGAACTTGGAAAAGTTATTTTTCTAGACTTTTTTAGGCATGCTGGATATGGATTACTATCCCAAATGTAAATGTTTCCAAGTTATGCAAATGATATCAGATCTTCAGACTAGCTGGAAACAGCCATCAATACATCCACACAGTGGACATTCTGGTGCATGTAGATTTTTCTTCATGTGCATGCATGTGGGAGGAAGGGAGTCAGTAAAATCCTGTTTTACATGGCTATGGATGGAAGAGGAAGGAACCAATGGCCTATCCCAAAGAGCATATTTGTCACACTTATATTGCACTCTGTCATAAAGAAGCTCAAAGCCAAAGTAGACATTTTGGACTCAATACATAACCTCTAATGCAATAGAAAAAGTGTGGGCAAGTGGGTGGGTGGGTAGTCTGTGGCAGGACCACGATACATAGGAATGGTGTGCTCAGCTGGCTTGTTACACTCGCAAAAGCAAACTCTAGAGCTGGATAAGGTGCAGGAAAAGTGGACCAAAATTATTAGGGCACAGGAGCAACACTCCTATGAGGAAGAGTTAAACGTCTGGAGCCCTTAGTCATTTGTTACATTTCTTATCTTACCCTTTTTGTTAGGGATCTGTAAAAGAAAGCATGGGGAGTGTTTTGTGGCCAGTGGAGGCAATTATTTCCTTCCTCTCAAAAATACCCTTGAGTATTTCAATCATGTTGTAACATCGTTCTCAATACAGTCTGTCCTAGGAGTGCAGCCAGGCTGCAGCAATGTTAACCAGGACCCAAGAGGAGATATAAAGAAAGAATCTCCTTCGCAAAAGATGACTGTTTATCCTAGCAAAATCTTTCCTTGCCCACAAAATCTTTAAAAGTAAGAGGAAGATATTCTCACTGCCAAAAACCCGAATTCTTAGAATTTGTCCAGCCTGCCCACTTTGCCAAGTACTGTACCATCTCTTTTGGTAAATAAATATGTGGTCCTATGAAATGGTGGGCGAGTGCCAGCTTCAAAAGATACAGAAGGAAGAGACAGTTAACTTTATTTTCACAAGATTACATGTATTAAAGAGCCATTTCATAGAACTAACATTTTTATTTGTTAGTTTGTTTATAAAAGCAGCTGTATACAGTTTTTCAGCCATAATACTTTTTCTTCTGGTCATCTAAAAGCTATTTATAGACAATAGCTGAAATAGTGCATTTCAACTTCACAGTGTCTTTTACTTAAGTTGTTTAGAATGGTATCGATGAAAGTTTTCCACATCTTCAATGGTGTCAGGCAAAGTTCTTCCCTTGGTCTCAGGCAGAAGTAACACCGATCCAGCAGCAATTAAACTAATGCCAGCTGTCAAAGAAATGAATGTGAAGCAGAGTTAAAAATCAAATGTACTATTTTGCACTTAAAATGCACATACCTTGGTTTACAAATGTCTTGGTTAATGTAATTTTTGGTTTATAAATGGAAATCCAATGTAAATAATGCCTTGGTTTACCTTTTTTATTTGTTTGTTGTTTTTTTCGGTTTGTGAAGGAAGTTTCCCCTATTTGTTTGTTGTTTTTTTTCGGTTTGTAAAGGAAGTTTCCCCAAGATGCCTTTTGCCTGGAGGTTTATACCACCACCCCCATTCCTATGGTAATCTGCGTTTTGGTTTACACCACCACCCCCGTTCCTATGGTAATCTGCGTTTTGGTTTACAAATTTTTCGCTTTATGTAACTCCCGTAGAATGCATTCAATTTGTAAACCAAGGTACTACGGTATAAATTATAAATCACTACAGTGGTCCCCTGCACTCAGTCACCCAAAAGTTAACTGTATTAAATTTATAGGACTCACCCACAATCAAACTAGTCAAGATGTGCTAATTTGAGAAATTGTTTCAATTTACGTTCATTGAATTTCCTGTAAAACGTGACAGCTCCTCACTGACAAGGAACTTCTAATGGCATATGAGTAAACTCAAACAGCACCAGGCATGAAGAATTCAAAAACACCCTACCCCAAACTGGTTGTAAACAGCTCTCAGCTCACCTTAAGCAACGTGAACATAAGAACAGCCCTGCTGGATCAGGCCAAGGGCTCATCTAGTTCAGCTTCCTGTATCTCATAGTGGCCCAACAAGATGCCTCTGGGAGCACACGAGACAACAGGATACCTGTCTGCTGATAATACCCTGCTGCATCTGGTATTTTGAGGTACCTTCCTTTCAAGCCTGGAGATTATACATCCCCATCATGGCTTGTAACCTTTGGTGGACTTTTTCTCCACAGATCTATCCAATCCTCTTTTCAAGGCATCTAGGCCAGACGCCATGAAATGTTTTATTACGGTCATTGACCAGCAAAATTAAGATACATTATTAAATTTGGGAACATAAAAACAATCTAAAAACATTAAAATACTAAAACACCAAAGGACTAAAAACATCCATATACATATATATAAAACCACATTCAAACATCTTAGTAAATATCTCCTACTCCCTATCATAGGCCTTATCTATGGCCTATTATAGCTTACATTCAATGCCAAAATTGTTACTTTGAAGCTCGTAGAGCCCGTGTGAACATTACCAATTTATTCATATATCTTACTAAATATCTCCTACTCCCTATCATAGGCCTTATCTATGGCCTATTATAGCTTACATTGAATGCCAAGATTGTTACTTTGACGCTTGTAGAGCCCGTGTGAACATTACCAATTTATACACCAATTTACAAATTCTATAGCTGCGCTCTAGGTGCAACCTTTCCTTCCCGGATTTTGATTGCAGCAGCACAAAATTTGGCTACTTTTGTCAGCATATCTGAATTTAGCCCAGTATATCTCTCAGGGCATCGCCCTGTCAGCAAAAGCAGTGTGTAATGTGCCTCTGATCGTCCAGGAAATGCCCTTATGTAAGGGTTAACATGGACTTCTCGAATGTCAGAATAAAAAGCACAATACATGGGAGATAGATTCAATCTCACCAGAGTTACAGGGGCATAAACACTTAGTGTAAGGGATGTTGTTATACTTCCCTTCCTGGACTGCTGACGGAAGTGCACTGAAGTGGGTCAAAGTAAGAGCTTGCATTGTTTAGGTGTTAGGGGTAAGTAGAGATATTTTGCCTGTTTCAGTGGGAGCAATGCGCTGTCAACTATAAACCTATTTCTGATAATACCAAGATCCTGCTGCCTTTCTGTCTCAATAATACGCTGCCTAAGATTACTCTTGGCCTTAACGTATCCCATTTGTTGGATACTTTCTACTGAATATTATTTATTTATTTGATATATTTGATTTATACCCCACCTATCTGGCCCACCGGACCACTCTAGGTGGCTTGCAATATAAAATCAGATAATAAAAACATAGACAAATACATAATAATCAAACAGCAACAGCAGTAAAATAAAGAAGGAAAAGTAAGAGAGAAATCAAGAATTGGCTGGAGGGAAGGCCTGGATAAATAACCATGTTTT